AAGTAATTGCTCGCACTAGGATTACCGGCACCATCATGCGTTTTGCACAGTTCTTTGCAAAACAAAATTCTTTTGCTTCTCAATTTAATATGTGCTTTCGAATTCGAAATTTTTTTTTGAGCATTTCTTCGTTCTACGTTAGGAAGGAGAATCATTGGCTAAGCCGCAGAGTTACACTGTCAGATATCCTGAAGTTTCAGTTTTCTAGCTTGCCTGATTTTCGAGAAAGAAAGATGCTAACAATTTTGCAAATTGAGCATTTGGCGAAGTACGCGCTCGCACAAAAACTCACTTTATGCAAGTAACATTAGTGCATTTAGGCATCAAATATCTTTTTAAGAAATAACACTTTCTACAAAACATAATCCGAAGTTAAAAAGTTGCCAACAGCACCTTAACTTGAAATTTCACCTGCGCGCATGCGAAATGTAAGCGTGTGCAGAAAATGAATTTAAAATTTTTTTGTTGCGTGGGGGTAGAAGACTGCTAAGTTTCAACTTTCTGTAATTGCTTTGGAATTACAGCGCCTTTTCAGTTTTGGCCTTCAGGCGCCCGTGAGTGAAAAGTAAACGCGCGTGATAATCAATTAGCGTTTACGGTCTTGCATTTGATCACGAAACGAGTAGTAAATGAGATGCACAAGAGACTAACTGTCTTTCGAGTTTGCCTCAGCATTGGCGACATTCTCATTGACACTCCTAATCGCTTCTTCAATTTCTTCCACCGTTGAAAATGAGTGTTTCTTCAGTGCATTCAAATAATAAGGAACAAAATCGTGTTTAACGCCGATCAAATTTTGAAGCTCTTTGAAGAAGCTGTCATAATCCTCTTTACAGCAAGCTACCGCTATTGCTGCTACTGCAAAAACGAACAAGAAAGGATAACTGGACTAGATATGACAAGGAAGCGATGCTTACTTAAATTGATCTCCAATTGATGAAGGAGGTTTACCTGCCAGAACCAAAAACTCTTGCTAGATTTCAAATTACTCTAATAAACTGTGGAATGCTAATGCTTGTGAAAGCTTCGAATATTCCAGAAACAATAATGGGTCAGTACTTCCTCAGTACAGCTTTGGATTGGAATACGATTGTTGG